ACTTATCAAGACCTTTCATTTGAGTACCTACATCAATATTTAAATATATTATATATATGTATATATGAAAAATATATAAAAATGCATGTGGGTACTCAAATGAAATCTCTTGATGAGTGTAACGTCAGGATGAGCTTATATGTTTAAAAATATCATAAGTCGATAAAATACAACATAATTTCTTAATTATTGATATTTTTATAGATATAAGCTCATCCTGACATAACATTCATTGAGACCTTTCATTTGAGTACCCACACCAATTTTTCATATATTTATATTTATTATATATATGTATATATGAAAAATATATCAAAAATGCATGTGGGTATTCAAGTGAAAGCTCTCGATGAGTGTAACATCGAGATGAGCTTATATCTTTAAAAACGTCAATAGTTAAGAAAGTACAGTGCAATTTAACAAAAGTTAGGATTTCATTTTTTTTAAACATATTTTAAATTAAGATTGTCCAATTTTTTATTTTACATTATATTAATAAATCTTTTGAGAAACAAAATTAATGCTTTTTAATAATATTTTCTCAAGTTTAATAATTAATTTCAATCGACAAAGTCAATCATCCAGATACACCAATTATTGACAGGCTGATAAATTGATTGATCCAACTAGTGACATACCGTTGGACCAATTATTGACACCCTTAATGCTTACTTGTCACCATTAATCTGATCTAAATACAATAAGTAAAGTCTGGTTGGAGGGGTTACAGCTTGGTATAAACTCACCTGTCAATATCACATCCATATATTTTGTGTACCAATTATTGACACCAATTATTTTATAATTAATAACCATTCAGTTGAATGTAAATATCCGATATTGTTAATTTTTAATACTTAATTTATTTATTAAAAAAAAAATGTTTAATTTGATTAGTTTAAAAAATAATTAAAAATCTGGAAATTTTAGTGCTTACTTCTAGTTGATTTTACGAGTTTAAGAATACTAAACTTTGTTATTTTAATTAATTAATCTTTCTCATTAATTTTTTTTAATTATTGTATAAAAAATTGTGATTAATATTGTAGATAAATAATAAAATTTAGATTTATAATAAAATTTATTGGTATATTTTCTATACCTAGCTTTTTATATATATAATTGTGTTTTTTTGTTTACAGAAAAAGATGATGACTTTAATTCGAAGTATTATTGAAGAAAAAGACGCATGCGTTGAATTACGCGTGCAATTAGCGATGCATCAATTGATGAGACAAAAAGCTGTATAAAATAATTTTAATGGTAATAACTATTTATGATTTTTATTTTTATTGTAATTATATATGTTGATATTTATAAAAAAATTTAATAAATCAAATTAATATTTATTTGAATTAGTGTTTTATTATTTCATAAAAATTTTCAAATATTTTGATATGACCTTTTAAATTACAAAATTATATATATAATTTATTTTATAAAAATTTTTTGAGCGCGCGCGAATTTTAAATTTATTTGCGCTTGCGCATGCGCAAGCGCAAATGTAAATTCAACGTATAAACAGAGAGTAGTTAGAGGTATCACTTGTAAACAAAGCTCTTTTTATTATTCTCTAAAAGAAACTAACAAATTACAAATTTATTATTAATAATTTCAAAGTTAAGTGATTGAAAATATAATAAATAATAATTATAACTTTGAAAAATATTTTATATCTGTAAAAATAAATTTGTAAAAAAAACTAACCTATAAAAATGTTAAAAAATAAAAAAAACGAGGAAAAAAAACAAAATGAACAACAACCAATTATTGTTAAAAGTGCTCTAGATCTTCAAAGATTAAAATTAAATAAATTAATGAGTAATCCGGTAAGTTAATTATTAATTATAATTTATTTTTTTTTTTTTTTTAATCAAACATTAAAAATTTTTTATTTAAAAAATTATAATACTGAAATTAACAGACACTTGACAATTTTTTTATTTTTCAGTCAAAAAAATTTTTAAAATCTGAAATATATTTAAAAAAAATTTTTTTTTTTTTTGTGACAGTTAAATTTGTTAAAAATTATTTTTTAAAATCTGCATTTTTAATTATTAAAAATTTTAGAAACAAAATTTTTTTTTACGTAATTTTTTTAATTAAAAAATTATCTAATCTACTTTTTAAAATAAAAAAAAAAAAATCTTTTTTTAAGAAATTTTCTAAGTTTAAATTAATTAATTTATTTTTACAGGATAAAGAAATTCAATTACCAGAAAAACCAAAATCCAAAAATGTCCCAACTGTACCAGAATTTGTGCGTAATGTAATGGGAAGTAGTGCAGGAGCTGGCAGTGGTGAATTTCACGTTTACAGACACCTTAGAAGAAAAGAATATGCTCGACAAAAATTTATTCAAGAAAAAAGTGGTCAGGTATGTTCTAGAAAATTTAATTTCTTCTTTTAAATTTATTAAATTTAATTACAATATTAATATTTAATATTTTATTAACAGGAGCTCCTTGATTTGCAATACCAACAGAAGCTTGAAGAAAATAAATTAAAAGCGGAGCAAGCGACTGCGAGAAAACGGGAGAAAAGATTGAAGCGAAAAAAGAAAACCAAGGAGACAAAATCTAAGAAGCCTCATGTTGAGGGGGAACAAAAAAAGGACAATGATGATAGTGATGATGCGAGTGGTGGGGGTAGTAATAATGAAGCGGAAGAAAAAGATAAGGAGACTGATTAGATGATAATTTAATTTTTAATATTAGAAGATATATTTTCTTAGGTTGAATATATTTAATAAAAATAAAAGACTCAGAGACAAGTGATATTTTAAAAAATATATATATATACATTTTTTTTAAGGTAAAGGCACCAATTAGTGACAGGGATCCAATTATTGACACCTATTTTATTTTAAATCTTATTTATCTACAATATTAATAACAATTTTTTTATACAAGAATTAAAAAAAATTAATGAGAAAGATTAATTAATTAAAATAACAAAGTTTAGTATTCTTAAACTCGTAAAATAAACTAGAAGTAAGCACTAAAATTTCCAGATTTTTAATTATTTTTTAAACTAATCAAATTGAACATTTTTTTTTAATAAATAAATTAAGTATTAAAAATTAACAATATCGGATATTTACATTCAACTGAATGGTTATTAATTATAAAATAATTGGTGTCAATAATTGGTACACAAAATATATGGATGTGATATTGACAGGTGAGTTTATACCAAGCTGTAACCTCTCCAATCAGACTTCACTTATTGTATTTAGATCAGATTAATGGTGACAAGTAAGCATTAAGGGTGTCAATAATTGGTCCAACGGTATGTCACTAGTTGGATCAATCGATTTATCAGCCTGTCAATAATTGGTCTATCCGGATGATTGACTTTGTCGATTGAAATTAATTATTAAACTTGAGAAAATATTATTTAAAAGCATTAATTTTGTTTCTCAAAAGATTAATTAATATAATGTAAAACAAAAAATTGGACAATCTTAATCTAAAATATGTTTAAAAAAATGAAATCCTAACTTTTGTTAAATTGCACTGTACTTTCTTAACTACTGACTTTTTAAAGATATAAACTCATCCCAATGTTACACTTATCAAGAGCTTTCATTTGAATACCCACATGCATTTTTGATATATTTTTCATATATACATATATATAATATATATAAATATATGAAAAATTGATGTGGGTACTCAAATGATGGGTCTCAATGAGTGTTGTGTCAGGGTGAGCTTATATCTATAAAAATATCAATAATTGAGAAATTATATTGTATTTTATCAAATTATGATATTTTTAAAGTTATAAGCTCATCCTGATGTTACTACACTCATCAAGAGCTTTCATTTGAGTACACACATGCATTTT